TGTGTGTGTGTTTCATTTATATATGGGATCAGATTTCCTACATTTTTCAATCGATTTCAACAAAACTTCACTTTTTTTTTTTTGCAGGTAGTGTTTCTTATTGTCTTGCACATTTTTTCTTTATTTTTACATTCAGAATGCTTTAAAATTCCATTTACAAGACAATTGTTTATAATAAAATTCTATTCAATTGATAGACTCATAACAATTGAAAACAATGTTTTGTTTGAGTTTGGGTTTGACCAATTCAAAAAAAAAAAAAAAAAAAAAAAAAAAATTAAGACATGCGTGTCTGTCAACCTTAAACAATAATCTTTGTCAATTTTATTTTTCAGTCTTTATGATGGTCGATACTTGATCTATCTCTTACTGTTACATCCCCGGGCAACGCCGGGCTCTACTGCTAGTTGTTTATATTTGTCAGAATGCAGAATTTCAAAACACAAACAAAATCAAGATCTGTTCCCCCTCACCAAGCTTCCTGCTTAAAGTGAGAATTTCACTGAACTAATATCCTCATCTTTTTTTAAAAAAAAAAAAACACACTCATTGAACATAAAGTAGGGATCAAATTTGGTAACAGCCAAATATTAAAATGTTATGCTTCACTTCACAGGTTAAAACAATTGTAAATACTGATGAGAAATTTTATTTTTTAACAATAAAGTATTAAATGTGGGGGTCTGCTTTCTGGGGGAAAGTGTTACACATTGCCCAAATTTCTGCAGTTCATCCTTTAATTTCCAAAATGCAGTCACAACAACAAAAACGGTGGAGAAAGAAAAGATATTTAGTGAAACTATATTGTTAGAATCAAGCATGGTGTATACTAAGGTACATTTGTAATATCTTCAAGTTGAATGCACATGACCATTATATAGGAGTCAATGTGCCATAAAACCACATTCAGAATCAGAACCTTGGAGATGGGATTAAAGCCAATGAGAATCTACTGGAAAATCCTTGTTTGGCACTACATGACCATTATATAGGAGTCAATGTGCCATAAAACCAGAATCAGAACCTTGGAGATGGGATTAACTGTTAGTACTCTGCAATATTTATAAGTATTTCATCTGTTGGGTATAAGTGGCCAGACAACTGCAGTAGTATCATCTTAAATTTTCAGTTAGTCATTTTCCTGTTACCATAGTAGGATATGACAACAATAGTGCAAAATTCAACCACACTATTGCCTGATGATCAGAGTTGCAGAATGAGAATCTACTTGAAAATCCTTGTTTGGCACTTCATGACCATTATATACCAGTCAATGTGCTATAAAACCACATTCAGAATCAGAACCTTGGAGATGGGATTAAAGACTATGAGAATCTACTTGAAAATCATTGTTTGGCAATATATGACCATTATATAGGAATCAATGTGTCAAAAAATCAGACTTAGACTATTTTTTTAAAACTTCTTAATATTGATCATGTGACCCCTGACAAATGGTGAAATTATTGAATATACTGAGCCTTGTGGCTAAGATAGTTGTACATTCCCATATATATCAAGGTTTGGTATTGGAGATAAGCTAAGAAGCCAGGCTCTTCACCAAAATGTCTGGTGTAACAATCTTCCAAATTTACTTCATTCATTTAACCTTGTGCCATACTAAATTTAATGAAATTACAAAGTTTTACTGAAGCCTTCAATTGTCTTTATCCTGATTAACAACTACAGTTTTTTGAAAATTTTATATATCGACAAAAACATTTTTTTTTCAGTTTCAAGCAATCTTGTCAATGAAGAGTCCATTTTTACAATTACTGCACATGTGATAAAAGGTAGAAACTGACTCTGTTGTATTAAAAGCCATATCACAGAGAGGTTGGATACATGTTACCCGTGTGGTGAAGAGATTGAATTTAACGTCTTTTGGCAGGATGTCTGTATTTCCAGCAGTAACAGTTTTTGTTGCATGCTGGGAGTAATTTTATTATTTTTAATTTTTAGTTAATTTATTTCATGCAATGCTTTTATGTTATTGTTTTATCTTATTTATAACTTTCATTATTATTTTATATATTTATAATAATAATATTCCTACAAAACTCCTCTCTTAAAATAATCCATGTATATGTATAAATAGGAAAAAGAATAAAGATTTTCAATTATATATGTTTTTATTTACAGAATTTTGGACCCATCATGATCGAAGCAAAGAAAAACTCAGAGAATAATCCATGTAAATAGAAATATAGAAAAATATAGAAAAGAATGAAGATTTTTAATAATATATTTAGAATGAATCTTTCAAATTAAGCAATCTTGGAAAGCGGCGGGGGGTGGGGTGACATTCTGACTTATGGTGAAAAGGTCATATTGGGTGAAAAAGGTTGAGGACCAATGTCTTAGATGGACTGCCTTACAAAGCTCTAAGTGTTATGCTATTTACCAACAAATGAAAAGAGATATGGGTTCATGCCTTTCTTAAGGGCATACACAAATGCACACAAAATCTTGGAAAGGGTGATGGGGAATGACATTCTGACTCATGGTGACAAGGGTGCATTGGGTGAAAAAGGTTGAGGACCAATGTCTTAGATGGACTGCCTTACAAAGCTCTAATTGCTATTTACCAACAAATGAAAAGAGATGTGGGTTCATGCCTTTCTTAAGGTCATCAGTGTACAGGGAAGCAATTTTAGTCGAAATACAAATTCAGGGTCTCAATTTCGTTTTCACGAACATTTTGTTTATTGAACTCTGCTCCAGTTTATCGAATAATTAGCTGTGAATTATTGTACAAACAAATTATTATTCAAGTTCCAAAATCCATCAACATTTTCCATTGCTATTAACTTTGTAAAAATTCTCTATAAAAATAATCCATGTAAATATATATGCATGTATATAAAAACGAATGAAGATTTTTCAATTATATATGGAAAGACTGATGAGGAATGACATTCTGATTTATGGTGAACAAGATGCATCGTGTAAAAAAAGCTGAGAACCACCATCTTAAATGGATTGCCTTATACAGCTCTATGCTATTTCCCCCTAAATGGAAAGAGATGTGGGTTCATGCCTTATTTAAGGGCATCACTATAAAGTGAAGCAAATTTGGTTAAAATCCAAATTCAGGTTGGCAATTTCATCTCCTGTGCTGTTAACTGCCAAGTGACACTGCACCAACTTAATCAGCCATGATACATTAGAGCAATCTTTAGAAATCCTGGAAAGATGAGAGCACTATCATTCTGACAGCTTTAAGTGCTATGTTATTTAATGACAAATGGAAAGTGGGTTCATGCCTTTTTTTAAGGGCATCAGCGTAAAGTGCAGCAATTATAGTTATGAATTAAAACAAATTACTGTATCTGTATTAAAGTTTAAAAATCCATGAACATTTTCCATTGCTATTAAATTTGTTTAAACTCCTCAATAAAAATAATCCATATAAATGTATATATACAAATATAGAAAAAAAAAGTAAAAATTTCAATAATGTTATTGAATGCACCTTTTATCAGTAATATTATTTGGAATGCACCTTTTGAGTCGGACAATCTTGGAAAGGGTGATGGGGAATGGTGTTCTGACAAGGGTGCATTGGGTGACAAAGGTTAAGAGCCACTGACCTATTAGATTTTAAAAAAATTTAATAAAATAGTTATTCATAATCTGAGGTGCTTAATCTACAGTAATTTAGGGTGAGGGAGATTATTTCTGGTTCCAGTGTCTTTTGTACAATTCCATTACTTTTCAAAAAGAAAAAAATAAATCCTGCTAGTTGGTTAATAAAGATAGAATTTATTAGTCCATAAAAATGTTTCAATTAGTAACAGAAAAATGATGTCCCACTGTATTAAGTTGAAAGAGGATATTAGTCGAAGTGAATTTTTCAATGTCTTTAACAAAACTTATCTTGCATTGGAGCATCTATTTTTACAGCAAAGTCAGTTTAACAAAATATTCTGGCATTGGCGTTGATTTGCTGTTTTGTCTCAAGTCTGATTGTCACATGTAAGAATTGACCATTTCCTCATGTTGGGAAATCTGGTCATTGAAGAATCTCTAAGCCTCAACTTTAGGCTTGCCCTTTTTAGAGAACCATTCATCGCTTTTGTCCATCTCAATTGCCTGGAAAAAAAAAAAAAGCAAAATAAATATGCAAAATAACGCTTTATTTGTATTTGATATTTGCAAAATAAAAAAATATGCAAAAAAAAAAAAAAAAAAAAAAAAACATTAAAAAATGCAAAGAAAAATACGCAAAAAATGTACAAAATAATTCTTCGTTATTTGTATTTGATATTTGTAAAATAAAAACTATGCAAAAAAAAAAAAACTCAAAAAAAACAATGTCAATATTCAATTGATATCCCAATTGCCTGGGGGTGGTGGGTGGAAAGTCTTTGATTCATTCCAAAGTTAAGCAGTTTTGGTAATACAGAGAGATCTACTTTAAACATGACTGTCAAAAGATTTGGATTTTGTTTGGTAAATTCTTTTAATACAAAAACAGTCATACAAAACAAGGTCTTCTCAATTTGTTTCTAATAGAAAAAACATGAGCAATACTTTTAAATATATGGCATCCGTCAGTCTGCAGAGATCATGGATCTTCACTCAAAGAATTATTCCTCAGCTGCCGATGGTGGCACAGTATCTGCTATGGCTTTACAACACTTTCTGAATCCCCTGCATTGTCCTCAGATTGACACCCAAACACTCTGAAATTAGAGCTTCCAGCGTGGATGTCAAGCAGTAATTTCTGGCAGACTGAATTGTGTCATCGTGCTCTTTTTCTCACAGATGGTGCCCAACTGACCCTACTATACAGTGCAGCCATCAAAATCAAAAATAAACAATGCCCATCCACAAAATTAAAAATATAAAATGGCAGCAATTTACCTATTGTAACCGGTATAGCATAGAGAATTCAAAAAACAAAAATGATCACCAATGGATTTTCAGTTTCACACCAACATTATATAATCAATAAAGAAAATGAAATTTTTGATGAATTTAGAAATAAATAAATCCTACTTTTGATATCTGCAGGATTTGAAGAAAAAGAAAGAAAAAAGAAGAAAGAAAAGAGAAAAAAAAGGACAAAGAGAAAAAAAGAGAAAAAAAAGGACAAAGAGAAAAAAAAAAAAAAAGGACAAAGAGAAAAAAGAGAAAAAAAACAAAGAAAGAAAAAAAGAAAAAAAAAAGGACAAAGAGAAAAAAAAAAAAAAAAAGGACAAAGAGAAAAAGAGAAAAAAAGGACAAAGAGAAAAAGAGAAAAAAAGGACAAAGAGAAAAAAGAGAAAAAAAGGACAAAGAGAAAAAAAGAAAAAAAGGACAAAGAAAAAAAAAAAAAAAAAGACAAAGAGAAAAAAGAGAAAAAAAAAGGACAAAGAGAAAAAAGAAAAAAAAGGACAAAGAGAAAAAAAGAAAAAAAAGACAAAGAGAAAAAAAAAAAAAAAAAAAGGACAAAAGAGAAAAAAAAAAAAAAAAGGAAAAGAGAAAAAAAAGAAAAAAAAAGGACAAAGAGAAAAAAAAAAAAAGGAAAAGAGAAAAAAAAGAAAAAAAAAAACAAAGAGAAAAAAGAAAAAAAAAAAAGAGAAAAAGAGAAAAAAAAGGACAAAGAGAAAAAAAGAGAAAAAAAAGGACAAAGAGAAAAAAAGAGAAAAAAAAGGACAAAGAGAAAAAAAGAGAAAAAAAAGGACAAAGAGAAAAAAAGAGAAAAAAAAGGACAAAGAGAAAAAAAGAGAAAAAAAAAGAGAAAAAAAGAAAAAAAAGACAAAAGAAAAAGAAAAAAAAAAAAAAAGAGAAAAAAAAAAAAAAAGAAAAAAAAAAAAGAGAAAAAAAAGAAAAAGAAAAAAAAAAAAAAAAAGAGAAAAAAGAAAAAAAAGGACAAAAAAAAAAAAAAAGAAAAAAAAAGGACAAAGAAAAAAAAGAAAAAAAGGACAAAGAGAAAAAAAAGAGAAAAAAAAGGACAAAGAGAAAAAAAGAGAAAAAAAAGGACAAAGAGAAAAAAAGAGAAAAAAAAGGACAAAGAGAAAAAAAAAGAAAAAAAAGGACAAAGAGAAAAAAAGAGAAAAAAAAGGACAAAGAGAAAAAAAAAGACAAAGAGAAAAAAAAGACAAAGAAAAAAAAGACAAAGAAAAAAAAAAAAAAAGAAAAAAAGACAAAGAAAAAAAAGACAAAGAGAAAAAAAAAAACAAAGAGAAAAAAAAAAACAAAGAGAAAAAAAAAGACAAAGAGAAAAAAAGACAAAGAGAAAAAAAAAGGACAAAGAGAAAAAAAAAGACAAAGAGAAAAAAAGACAAAGAGAAAAAAAGACAAAGAGAAAAAAAGACAAAGAGAAAAAAAGACAAAGAGAAAAAAAGACAAAGAGAAAAAAAGACAAAGAGAAAAAAAGACAAAGAGAAAAAAAGACAAAGAGAAAAAAAGACAAAGAGAAAAAAAGACAAAGAGAAAAATGAAAGAAAAAGAAAGGAAGAAAGAAAGAAGGAAAGCAAGAAATGGCTCACCTTTTCCAAGGCATCATTAGAAGTTTTGTCAATTTGGGAAAGTTCCCGGAATGCTTCATCTCCAACAAAACAGATTTCATGGCCATCCTACAGGGGAGAAAAAAAAAAAAACAATTAGAAGAATCCATAAAACAGTTTTATAGTAAAATCAACACCTATGCAAGACATCTGTAATTGGAAAATATAATGCTAAATCACCAATGGTTGCCAAGCTATCACCACCATGCACGAACAGTTGGAAACGGTCACCCAACCACTCAACTCCAGCAGCTTATATATAGCTATCTGAGAATGGTCAGATCAAAAATCTGATTACTTTATCAATGAGCTCTGACACGGCGCTGGCTTTTACTTTAAGCAGAGAATAGGAGTGAAAAAAAATAGTCTCCATTGTGACATTATAAAAGTTTCTCAACTTGTTATATTTACAGAATGTGGGTTTTATGGTACATTGATTCCTATAAAATGGTCATGAAGTGCCAAACAAGGATTTTCAAGTAAATTCTCATAGTCTTTAATCCCATATCCTAGGTTCTGATTCTGAATGTGGTTTTATGGCACACTGACTCCTATATAATGGTCATGTGCATTTAACACCTATTGACTCCTATACATTGACTCCTGTGGAACCATACATATTTTATTTATGTACATAAATTTTATTTCAATATTTTAATGTCAGAAAGAGGCAAGTATATTCTCCTCATTGGCCAAGTTAAACTTAAAAACAACACAGCTTTTTAGAACAGATAAAAAGCTGGAACAGTTACCTCCCCTTGTTTCAAAGGCTTTCCCATCCAATGAGTTCTATTTATAGAAAAGAAAATATCACTGGATCTCGATTTATGTTATTTATAAGTGAACTGCTGTCCTCATCTTTGTTGCTGCCATGACAATGTTTCAGCCATGTACCTGCCAGCCTTCATTGGGTGTATATCGATCCAGATCACCTACAGGAAATCTTGAACTGAACTCTTTATTTAATCTATGGGAGTAGACAGTTCTCATTCCACTGTCCATGTCTTTGGATATATCGTCTAGTTCTTATTTTTAGTACTGCTCAGTTATTGCTCGCCCTGTTTCCACTGAGTCCAAGTACACAATGCCCAGCCCAGGGATTAAACTGAACCCTTTATTTAATCTATGGGAGTAGACTCTTCTCATTCCACTGCCCATGTCTAGGGATATCTCGTCTAGTTCTTATTTTTAGTACTGATCAAGTATTGCTTGCCTTATTTCTACTGAATCCACGTGCACACTGCCCACCACAGGAATTGAACTCAAACTTTTATTTATTCTACAGAGATAGACTGTTCTCATTCCACTGCCCATGTCTAGGGATATGTCGTGTAGTTCTTATTTTTAGTACTTCTCATGTATTGCTCGCCCTGTTTCCACTGAGTCTGAGTACACACTGCTGAGTAAAGTCTAACATGGTGAAGAGCATGATCAAAAACTGAGTATGCTCCATTCCTTACAGTTGTGGCAAAGAATATAAAGGTGAAACAAGCAATACTCAAAAAGTAAAGCTGGAGAAATATCAAAAAGCCATAGTGAGGAGTGAGACAATTAAATCAGGCATGGATGATCACGTATGGAGGGAAAAGAGTAATCATCAGCCCCTGTGGAATGAAGTGAATATACTGGACAAGGAAGAACATTAGAAAGTTAGAGGTCTAAAAGAATTTGCACATATGCTAGGCTATATGGTCCTCCTTAGTAGACTTAGCAGAGAAATACACACAATATAGGAGCTGCTAATAAAGAAAGAAAGGGAAATGACAGTAAGGCTTTAACTGTAACAGCAGCAGCAGCTTTAACAAAAAGAGAAAAAGTTTCTGTGACTGCAGTCAAGCATAACAAATGGCAGCAGTAGAAGCACTCATCAGCAGTTAGCTTAGATTTAATGCTCCAGGTTCTCCACAGAGAATCCAGTAGTCTAGTGGATTAAATTGTTGGTTTGTGAATTTGGAGACATTGTAATTTTGAGTTCAATCCCAGGGTTGGGTAGTGTGTACATAGATTCAGTGGAAGCAGGGTGAGCAATAACTAAGCAGCACTAAAAATAAGAATTAGATGAGATATTCCTAGACATGGGCAGTGGAATGAGAACAATCTACCTCTGTAGATTAAATGAGTTTCACTTTGGAATTCCCTGTAGGTTACCTGGACAGGTAAACAACAGATGAAGGCTGAAGGATGCAACAGCTGAAGAGTTGTGATAACAACAATGATAATAGTCTGCATGTAAATAGTGTAAATAATGATAACTCCTCATCCCAGAAATTCAGACAGAAGGTGATCAGGTGATAACAAGGATGAGGATATTAGTCTGAATGTAAATAATGATAACACCTCATCCCAGAAATTCATACAGAAGGTGATCAGGTGATAACAAGGATGAGGATATTAGTCTGAATGTAAAAATAATAATAACACCTCATCCCAGAAATTCATACAGAAGGTGATCAGGTGATAACAAGGATGAGGATATTAGTCTGAATGTAAATAATGATAACACCTCATCCCAGAAATTCATACAGAAGGTGATCAGGTGATAACAAGGATGAGGATATTAGTCTGAATGTAAATAATGATAACACCTCATCCCAGAAATTCATACAGAAGGTGATCAGGTGATAACAAGGATGAGGATATTAGTCTGAATGTAAATAATGATAACACCTCATCCCAAAAATTCATACAGAAGGTGATCAGGTGATAACAAGGATGAGGATATTAGTCTGAATGTAAATAATGATAATCAGTGACATCCCAGAAATTCATACAGAAGGTGATCAGGTGATAAAAAAAATGAGGATATTAGTCTGAATGTAAATAATGATAACACCTCATCCCAGAAATTCATACAGAAGATGATCAGCTGATAACAAGGATGAGGATATAATTAGTTGAATAGATCCATGATAACACCTCATCCCAAAAATTACAAGATGATCACTGGTAAAAAAATGGATTTAGTCTGAAGACATTAAGTTTATATCCCAGAAATTCATACAGAAGGTGATCAGGTGATAACAAGGATGAGGATATTAGTCTGAATGTAATCCAATGATAACAGGGCCCAGAAATTCAAAAGAAGATGAGCACTGGTAAAAAAAATGGTTGCTGAGGATATTAAGTCTTAATCCCAATAATTCATACACAATGTCCCAGATACATGGCATACAGAAGGGATCAGGTGATAATGTCGATGAGGATATTAGTCTGAATGTAAAAATTGATAGATGAGCATCCCAAAAAATGGTTGCTGAAGACATTAAGTTTCTTAGTCCCAGAAATTCATACAAGGATGTCCTTATGATAGTCTGGCACAGTGGATAATGAATGTCGTTGGTTAGATCCAGTGACAGGGCCCAAAGTAAAATTGCAAAGCACTGATCAGGTGAAAACAAGGATGAGGATATTAGTCTGAATGTAAAAAAAAAATTCATCAAGGTGATCAGGTGATAACAAGGATGAGGATATTAGTCTGAATGTAAATAATGATAACTCCTCATCCCAGAAATTCATACAGAAGGTGATCAAGGTGATACAATGAGGATAATATCTTGAATAAAATGATAAGGGCCCAAAGTTCATAAATTGCAAGATGAATGTAAAAAAATGGTTGCTGAATGATTAAGTTTCATCCCAGAAATTCATACACAAGGTGATCAAGGATAACAAGGATGAGGATATTAGATGAATGTCGTTGGTTAATCCTCATCCCCCAAATTAAAAATTGCAAGATGAGCACTGATCAAATGATAACAAGGATGAGGATATTAGTCCCAGAATTCAAAAATGATAACACATCCCAGAAATTCATACAAAAGATGTGATCAACAGTAAAAAGGAAGATGAGCACTGGTAAAAAAATGGTTGCTCAATTAAGTTCTTAAGGCAAAAGTTCATAACAGATGTCAGGATACAATGTAAACAGAAATTCATGGTTAGATCCAAGACAGAAGGTGATCAGGTAAAAAAAAGATGAGGATATTAGTCTGAATGTAAATAATGGTTAAGACATTAAGTTTCTTATCCCAGAAATTCATACAGAAGATGTCCTCAGGTGATAACAAGGATGTGGATAATGTCGTTGAATAGAAATAGTGACAGGGCATCCCAGAAAAAATTGCAAAGATGAGCACTGATAAAAAAATGAGGTTATTGTCTGAATGACAATTAATTTCTTAGTCCCAGAAATTCATACACACAGATGATCAGGTGATAATAAGGATGGCACATTGGATAATGTCGTTGGTTAGATCCATCCCAGGGCCCAAAAGAAAAATGATCAAGATGAAACAAGGATGAAAAATATTTGTCTGAATGTAAATAATGATAACTTAGTCCCAGAAATTCATACACAGATGTCCTTAGGTGATAACAAGGATGAATAATGTCGTTGAATGTAAATCAGTGATAACCCCTCATCCCAAAAATTCAAGATGAGCACTGATAAAAAAAAATGGTTGGATGAGGACATTAAGTTTCTGTAAATAATGAAACAAAATCATCCCAGAAATTCATACAGAAGGTGATCAGGTGATAACAAGGATGATGATATTAGTCTGATATCCAGTGACAGGGCCAAAAGTAAAAATTCATACAAAGATGAGCACTGGTAAAAAAAAATGGTTGAATGAAGACATTAAACTTCTCATCCCAGAAATTCATACAGAAGATGTCCTTAAGGATACATGGCAGTCTGTGGATAATGTCGTTGGTTAGATCCAGTGACAGGGATGAGGATATTAGTCTGAATGTAAAAATAATGATAACAATCCCAGAAATTCAGACTGAAGGTGAAAAAAAAAGGATGTAAATGAAAGATAACACCTCATCCCAAAAATTCATACAGAAGGTGATCAGGTGATAACAAGGATGAGGATATTAGTCTGATATAAAATAATGTCCCTCATCCCAGAAATTCAGACAGAAGGTGATCAGGTGATAACAAGGATGAGGATAATGTCTTGGTTAGATCCAGTGACAGGGCCCAAAGTAAAATTCAGACAAGATGAGCACTGGTAAAAAAAAATTGCTGAAGAAATTAAGTTTCAAGTCCCAGAAATTCATAC